AGAAAATGTGATTTAAAAAACCGTAGGTTTTTTCTCTTTGTTTATCTCAGTGGACTTGAGTGGACCGACTATTGGAATTTGTCGAGAAATTGCACGCTTGTCGTTTATGAAATATAGCGAAACTGTTGCCATCAATTAAGGTATTTATCGAGTTTTAGTGCCTCTCATTGATTTTCGATTCCTTTCAAATCATTTCACATTTCTTTAGTAAAATATCGTCGTTTTTTGTTTCATTCAACTAATATATTTCGATTGATAAAAAATTGTGATACGTTATTGATTTTTTTGTCACATTTTCGCCTAATTTGCTTATTTGTAAAATTCAAATTTTTTCATTTCGATTTTCACATCAAAGATTTGTCGATTGTATTTTTTCAAAATGATTATTATTTTTAATTTCTATATCTCTTCCTTAATCACTATTTTATCAAACTATTATTTAAAATTTTTTTTTGTCTTTTTTTACATTCCCGATTCTAAGTTGACACAATCATATTCATTTACATTAGAAGTTACATCAGAAGTTAAAAGTTAGTATATATCTTTCTATTTGATATCCGGATTCTAATGAATCCTTATACAATTTTCCAAAAGTTTATGCTATTCTTTCCCGGATTCTTCTTCTTGGACGATGCCTCTTGACTTTCAAGAGAGCTTCCTCTTAATGCCTCCCGCAGTAAAGCGATGCGAGTTCATGCCCGTCACGACTCTATTTCTTGTCTTCTGCTATCAACTTTTCGATTTCGATCGCATCCACCTCGATATCGATAACAATTTCCTGGAGTGAGTTTTTATAGACTCGACAATCCCATAGCGATCTTTCCTGAATTTGATCATCTCAATTTTTGTGATCGCCTTCTGAATTTTGATGATCGGTGCACGAAGCTAATGTTTTAAAGAAATTTTCGTATGGGAAATATCAAATTTAAATTGACGCGACGTTAACTTTTGCTCGCCAATTTGATGACGAATATCTACAGATCTGTGTAATAAATTTATATGTAGAATTTTATTACGTTCATAAATCTTTTAATCTCGGAAAACACAATATTGTACTCTAATATGAGTATGATTAAATGCAATTTAAATCACATCTGTCAAATATCTGTACGCAAATATCTGTATACTTCGTTATTCGAAGTTATATATAAAAAATATATCAAGCATGCCAAACTCATTCCGTCTCATCAATCACATAGACAATTTTATATTATATTTATTATATTAAAAAAATGTAATAATTTATATTTTTTTATAAATGAAATTTGTACATATTTTAAGTGTGTCGGAAATATGCACATTTTAAATAATACAAAATTGATTATGACTGAGCCGAAATAAATTTGATATACTTGATTTAAAAAATATACTTGTGTAATATAATTTCAAATATTGCAATAATAGGCAATACGAAATTATATAAATACTATTATTCTTAATTTAGTATGTAAACATGTAAAATTATTGAAAAAATTCAAATGAAATAATTTTAATGTAATATTTTATTCTGAATTGTACACAGTAGTGTCTAACTTTTAAATTCTATTTGACTATAACTGTATAATGTATAAATTATTACTTAGACAAGTTTAATAGGAAAAAGTAACAATAGAAATCTCTCCTGAAGTTATATGAAATAAATTTAGTTTGAAGAATAAACTGTCACACTTTTCGTTTGATTATTTGCTACGATCGAAGGAAAAGCTTCTTGCGCGTGAGGATAGACAAGTAATTTTGCTGCCTCGATTTTTTAGTGAGATATCGGAAGTTTTTGCTGCTGCTGTCGGTGACACTCGATTTTGCGGAGGCAAACTTTCTATCTTCGCGATGCAGGAGACCCTGCAAATTTAAATTGGATTTCATTGTAATGACACTCTCATTGAGCCTAAATAAATTAAAAACACGACTCTTAATAGTGCAGTTAAACGAGGGATTAACGTACAATGCATCAATATATTATCACGCAAAGATAAACTTGCATACAATTTTTATGAAAGACATCTGTTCAAGATGTCATAAAATTATATATAATACTTTATTTAACTTTACTAATTATATATATATATATATAATTAGTATATTAAAATTTTATTCTTGATTTTGCTCAGTGTGTCACTATAAATCGGTTATATAAAATTATATATATATATATATATAATTTTATATAACCGATTTATAGTGACACACTGAGCAGAATTAAGAATAAAATTTTCTAACTATTAATGTATAATTATTTATGAAATAGCAGAGATAAAGTTTTACTAACTTGACTGCAAGAGAATTACGGTAATGTATATTACAGTGGATTAGTACTGCAAATGAGATCATATTATACATTTTAAAAAGCATAATTTTTCTTACTAAGGTACAACACATTTAAACCTTTGAAGATATGAAAATGTTAATAGTGTATAAATGCGAGACACGTATACATATTTGAAAATGTTCTATTTATGAATTACATTTATAAATAAGCTGAATAAGATCAAATTTTATACTTATAATCATCAAATAGACCATATTTTTGTTATAGATTTTATTTAATACTGTGCTATGCATTATTAAAATATTAAAAAGTATTTCTACTAGTCTCAAATATATGCGAAAAGAAAAAATAATGTATATATTATATAAAATAAAGTATATATATATATATATATATATACAATTTTTTGTGACAAATCTTCCATTTGGAATATTTAAAGAATATACTCTTAAGAGTAATATATTATGAAACAATATATTGTGTCACTTTGAAGTAGAAATATATGAAATTGTTTGAAATAACTTTGTAGAATGAAATAATGTGTGAGTACTATCTGGAAATTAATATAAGATCGCAATTATAAAAATATAGGTAACTGCATAACATTAAAAGTGCATTCTACTACGTCTGTGATTCGCTATTTATATTGTCATACGAATTTGCAATTATATTTTATCGCATGGCGATGTAATTTCGGATGGAATTAAACCTACAAAAGGAATTTATGGAGACAATTGTCGCTGTCTGGCAATAAAAATTGTCATTTATTGTTGCAAGCAAGATATAAGATATAAAGTAGCAGACCATATTCTTCTTTATCGTCGTATAATTCGTAAATATATAGACGCACATGGAGATGTCCGATTTATACGTACGCGAAGCAACTCAGGGTGTCATTTGGTATGAGCGATTTAATTTCGTTGCAACGGGCGATGCATTAAAACTCGAGAAGAACGAGCACCCCGAGTATTGTCGGTCGAGTATAAAAACCCGCTTTATTTATCAGTACTGCCGCCTCGTTGACAGTTTTCATTAAGCCTTACAAAATATTGATTGTGGCTTAGCCGATCCGAAATTAAGTGGATCGGTTAATAGCAGACGATTCATTGCCAATACAGCTCGATCGCGAAATTTGTAAACGATAATCGTGGCAAAATATGTGGCGCGTTAAATTATCTAATGGAATCGGATGTAATAATTTATATGGAAATTAACTTTGCGAGATGATTCGACCACGAATGACCAAATAGTCGTGATGACGTGTGTGATATAATTTTCAGGAAATTAACATTGTCATTACTCCAGCGATTATTTTAGGATGTTACAAGGATATGATGCTATATTAAATCCAGATAACTCGCGTTATATTATAGTGATAAATATAGTCTCACATATATAATGACAGTTAAGTATATAGTAGAGAGCGTTCTGCTTTTAACTTTTAAATTTATCATGCTTTCAGTTAGCAACTGGATATGTAAATTTATTTTAAATAATTAACGAAGGGAAATATACAGTTGTGCATAACTTGTTGTAAATACGTGTGTATAAAAAACGGTACATGTGAAAGTGAATATAAATTGCAGTTAATGTATTTTTGTTTTAAAAATTGGATTGTTGCGCGTTATTTAATCGCACAGCCTTCACAGTATCATTTTTATAGTTCATATTTTATTTACGAACAAGCATTAATTTCCTTATTCTGTTACGTTTGACTGTTGCGTTATTTGTTCTAAATATACTATGACTTTGATACGCTTTATCTGTCGGAACAATTAATAGTCGGGATATGCAACTATATACGTGATGTCATCCTGAATTTATGAACCGCCGTGATTTTCCCGGCGATGTTTTGTAATTTGCAGTTTTACATGGCTGCGAATATATACGCCTCGATAATTTCACCCAAAATGTGCGCTTGCCGTTAGTTTCGGACAGTTAACCGATGTTTCGTTACAATCAGTTGCAGTTTCGTACAACAAGATGTGCATTTTGCAGCTACATATCTCTAATATAATCAAGTAAAAACTGAAAAGCGAAAATTGTATGTAAATTTATAGATTTCAAAGAAAGAGAAAGAAAACTTTATTCCACACTTGCTTCACAAACGATAAAAGATAAATTCGAGTTGTAATAGCTTCGCGACGTGGTTGATGGAGTACCCGGAGTACCGTATTAATTATCGAGCGCCGACTTATATAAGAATTTCTAGCCGGAGGCGAAGAGTTGGCACGAAACTGCGATTGTAAATAGTGTTCGTAATTATCGAAATAGGAGAGAATTGCTACGATATACTAAATTCAACACAAACAATTAAATCTAAATCAACTATATTTGATAATTTGATATTATCGTATAATTGCATATATTTGATAAAATTATAATTACTACAAATTAATTCTTGCGTTATTGCATTAACTAATTATCTTATGAAAACTGAAAATCTAATTTTTATATTATCACTATACTTATATTTTCAAAGATACATTTATTGAGTATAAGTACATTTTGAATTATGGATATATATATATATATATAATGTGCAATGATTGTGTGCTTTTTTCTCTCTTTTTTTGCGACATTTTTTTTATCATTTATGGTGTCATCAGCGATCAAATGTCTGATTTTTTCCTTAATAATTATTAAAGAGCATAATTACAGAATTTTTAACGCTAGATTTCAAGTGCTTTGAAAAGAATAAGGCAACTAACGAACCTTACTGTTTCTTTTTCAGCCAACTATTTTCGGGACAGTAGCCTCGGATCTGAACCCCAAGGATGGAAATAGCCGCAAGGTGAGTGTTCTATTTTTTGAATTCCTTTTATTATTTTATCAACTTGCATTAATGATTATCGTTCCAAGAGCGGGGAATATCTGTTAGGCAATGCCCGATACTGAGAAAGATTTTTATCTTTTCGCGTTACATTATTACCCCGGAGGGGATTTTTCCGGAAACCTTAATGAGTAAAAATTGCTGTTAAGTTGCTGGTTTCGTTCCGCTAACCGGTCCGAAATAGAGCGGCTGACTGCTCTAATTAAAAGTAACAGCGCTACCAAGAGAGGTCCATCCTATCCGGCACAGTTGTTCCTCTCAGGGGATTTAACATACTAAAACCTTGCAAACTTTCTCTTTTCCAGCCGCTTACGCGACAGCCCTCTTAATCGCAGAATCATGCACAATGAGCACTCATAACTACGTTATTATTGAAATATTTAAGTTAAACAGCTTGGAATAAATTTGAACATTTTATCGCAAAGAGCAGATCGGTAGAATTGAGATTATTCCATGAAGAAATAATGCCTCGAGGAAGAGAAGATGGGTTATATCCTTTTAATGCAAAATAAATTCTCTTCCGCAAAATCTATACTAGAGATCTATTATATTATGTGCTGATGAATAATGAATGTCCACACAGATGATATAACAACTAAAAGATAACAATCTCTCTATATATTACTAATCACGCGATCATTAAATCCGCTCTGGGAAATACTACTAGATATATATAGCGATACTGATAATTCTGTGCTGCACTCGCACGTTTGTGCATCAATTATTTTATCAATTACATTATTGATTAGCCATTAGTTGCTAGCAATCGAGAATTTAGAATACGTTTCGAATAATTGTTGAAACTATTTTGATGCTTACATGTATGAAGAAATTAATCTTTATTCATTATGAAAATATAACATAGGGTCTATAAAAAATTTTCTTTTCATCTCTCTTTTACAAGATACGTATAAAATACGTCGCAAAATTGCTATGTTAAAATTTTTATTCTTTTAAAGTTACGTCAAAATAAATTTTTCATATATATAATTAATAATGTCATGTTTAAGTATAAATGTGTACGTAATCACTCGCAGTTGCAAATGCAATCACCAAGAGTGTTATAAAGAAAATACGTCATATCGACGATTATAAAGCGAGGAATTAATTAGAGCAGGTTTCTGACTGCTATTCACATACTGAAAATTAATTACCCATTGCTTTATTACGAAGTACATGTTAATCGCTCCGTTGGTGCAGATTCTGCTCCGACATGCCATATTTCTTCGAAACGACTCCTGAACATTTCACATTCGATTATAATATTAATTGACATATTTCTCGAGAATTTTGGAGACGGTGTATATGCGAAATTATGAAACCGTAGAAACAAAAATTACGGCGCGCAGACGTTCTCTCGCATCTATATTAATACGGTAGATCGTTTCGGATTTACATGTTTCGCGCACAGTGATTACATTCGCGACATAGTAATACAGCACATATAGCATATTTCGGCGCGATATGTCCAGCGTGATGGAAGAGCAAGCACCACAACGGCGGTCGCACGCACACACTGCGTGCAACACGATTAATACGGGGAACCGCCGAGTAATTTCGGTCAAATTTAGTAACACAGCCGTCATGCGGCGCGAAAAAAATTTCTGCGCGAACAAAAAAAAAAAAAGAGGTGGCGGCGCCACGCTTGGCACGTCTGAAAAAGCAATGCCGCTTTATTTTTGCCCGCCATTTAATTGTGTGTGCGTTTCTCTGCCCTTGCGCTGCCGCGTGAACTCAATTTATTAGCGTACCGGGAATACTTTGGATCGCGAACGGGTAATTAATCGTGTAGCCCTCTGTTAATGCGCTTGTATTAATGTGTATGCCAATTAGATTCGGTGGTGGTAGTTCGAGATGTGCATATAGGTATATACAATATATATATATATATCACGAGCGAGGTATAAATCTACCCTCGTAAGTTATGGAGCCCGTGTAATTTTCAGGACACTTTCGAACGACTCGTGAGTGGTACGAGTCGGTATTTTACCGTCATGTGAATTTGGAGAATTACGCCGTGTCTATATGTTACCAGAGTAAAAATCAGAGAGAGTGAGAGAGAGATATATATATATATTTGAGCTTAAAATAAATCTAACGAAGGAAGATATATTCAGCTCGGTTTTTTTTTAATAAATTTTCTACTATCACAAACTCTCTCTCTTTTTTCTCGTAACGCGCATACTTGATTAATTATTCAGTTTAATTATATCGAGTCCGTCATTATTGGAATATTTCCAAAACCGCGCTGGCATTTTATTTTCACGTAACTGCAATTTTTATCTTTGAAATCTACACGGTGAATTTTCGAATTGGTGATTATGTTCTACTGTTCCAAGCACTTTTCCGTCGCGGTTGCACAAGAGTCGCCTTATGTCGTGAAAATCACGTCCGTTGCGAAAGATTCTTTTATCTTTGCAGTTATTGATATAAACGAGATTGTCGCATGATGTTAGATGAAAATAAGAACGGCAAGAAGAGTGTCGAAGAAAAAGCGATGATAGGGATGAAAGAAAAATGAAAATGCATGTCGAGAGTGAAGTAAGGAATTCAATGTGAAAAATTTCTATCATATTCACTGATATTAAATATTTCCGATAGCGCACTAAAGAAATATCAATGTTTGATCATAAATATAAATATCTCTCTTATTTAAATATCACTTTTGGATATGATAAAATATATAGGCAGAAAGGAGTCATACACATATTGTACATATACATATATACATAAATTTTATTTTACAATGATATATTAATTCTTCTTTAACTTCTTCAACTTTTTATGGTAAAGATTGAATTGATTGTTTGCACAATATTATTAAATATCTTTACTTTAAAAATAAATACATTTAATGTTTATCAGATATAAAAAAAGTATATGAATTATTTTTAACAGGTATATATCTGTGTAGAAAAAATTAGAGAAAAAGAATAATTTTTCTTTAATATTTACATATATATTTATAACAAATATGTAAGAGTGAGAGAGATTTAATTAACAACAGAGAAAAAAATAAAAAATTATTTTTTTCCTATTTTATATTGTGGAATTGGTAGAAGAAAAATATTGAATTTGAGAGGTAAATTGCAAAAATTAAATAAAATATTAGAAATGAAAATATTCTTCAGGAATATCATCGACGATATAAATCGAAAAATTTGATTTCTTTGTTCTTTATTGTATTATTATTTTATTTGTTTTTTGACTATTTCTGTTTTTCGTGAATTTTAACATTAAGATATAGCAGGACAAACTCTTTGATGAGAATAAACTTTTACAAAGTCAATTAGTCTTGTATAACTGTAAGCAGTTATTAGTACGTTTGGCAGTACTTTGATATCCGTGTAATTACGCAATATAAACTTATATAAACAGAGTAATTTAGAACTTTATAACGTTATATAAAGTATTTTTAGTGAATGTCAGAGAGTAGGTAGATTAGAGTAAACAGGGTTATCTTCGTTAACTTATTTAGTCGATTTACTGTATCATATCACATCAAATTCGTGATGCAGAATATCGCGTTTTACAATTATATTTTATACTTGGTGTAATTATTTTGTTTAAATATATAATTTAGCAGAATGTCAGTGAGGGAAAAGGGGATACCTGTTTAAAAACATTTCTTTTGTAACAATTCCATTATTTTAATTTAATACGCATCAAAATACTATGTTAATTATTCATGCAACTGAACTTTTTTGCAATAGTACTTTATATATATATTTACATACGTTAAATGATTTTTTCTTCGAAATTGGCGTAATTTTAATCTCGACGATCAAGAATGAGGAAAAAGCGCACAGACGGGCAATGCTGCAAAAAAATGCAAAGACGAGGATATTCTCCGATTATTCCGATCGCGGGAATGGATGCACAAAAGCCGCTATTGTCCACCGAGATTCTCGCGATTTTCCCGTCGTACGGCTGGCTAAATTATTCTTTATCTCTTTCATCTAATAACAACTCCGGTATGTTCAGGCATTAGAATGGCAAACGCGTTGGAAGAGAAGGAGATAGGATAAAACGAGCGCACTTTAGCACTGTCGATGAAAAATTTCCCGTATAGGTGTCAGAGCTTCGGGTTACATTGCCGGATGGCACACGCGAAACGACAACAATAGTACGACCATAACGCGTTATAAGAGCCACCTTTATGAGCCGAAGCACAGAAGCCGGATAAGCCAACACGCGAAGTGTCGTAGTAACGAGTTTCCTAAAATTGCTCCTACGAAGTGGTACGGGATGTTTGTAAGTGCTTATCAGACGGTTTACAGCTGGAATGAAGAGATAAAAGGTATAACATAGGAAATGTGATTTTTCTGAGAGTAAGGTACAACCGAAAAAAATGCAATTTTTTTGTCAATAACGCGATTGGCGAACGATGACATTAGCGACGACAATAAATATAATTGGGCGCGTTTATTTAAAGTGGCGTAGAAAGGGGATGGAAAAGAGGGTGGCAACGGGGCGTTTTTTCGGTACATATTGTTTCATGCTTTTATCGCGTAATAAACGGACGAGCAAAAGATCGATGCGCCGATATGTTCTCGGCGTTATCGCTCGCGGACAATGGCCCGATTGGGAGGAAAAATATGCAGCTTGCTGGAATAGTCATGCGTGCCTGTAAATTTTCACGCGAGCGATATAAATTCACGGGACGTCGGAAATGGCGTAGTCTCTCGCTGGCGCTTTTTTTTTTGCGCGCACGTCTCTCGTTGATTTTTATTTAACCTTGACTGCCTTGAAAGCAATATGTGTGTGATACTATTTTTCGCGAACGATCAGAGGAGTTAGCGGAAGTTTCTTCCGTCTGCTCTCTTAAATTGAATCAGTGGAAATATCACTGATTAAGCAGACGACGCGAGACTTCACTGAAAATCAGTCAAACGTTCATTGATTTTCAGTGAAAATATTATTACATTTATTTATACATTGCTTCTCCGTCTTATGTTTCA